ATAACAGTGCCTGGAATATATCATGTGCTTATCAAATGCTGATTGACTAAATTGAAGATAGTAATAGGGAATCAGATCTAAAAAAGTAAGGATTTAATTCCCCATCCATTGAAATTATGCCCCTTTCCATGCTTTATATAAACACTTATCTGAACAGAACCATCGACCCATAAGAAATGGTCCATTTAAGCTTTCTGCTCTTTATACTGTTTTACAAAACTAATAACAATGAAAGATCTCAATGTATTTTATAACACCCAAGTTTATATTCAGCTACTAGCTTCTTGAAGAAGTGCTTTAAATTTTTCCCCCCTTTGAAGATAATTTGGCATTTTACTACAGACTAGTTCTGAATTCTGAAAAACATTTAAACCATGGTGAATCATTCTTCCTACTGTATTCCATTACAGAGCTCCAAAAATGTCAATAGCCAAGGCACTTGGAACATTACATCAGGGAATTAATTATTAACCCACACACCATGCATAGATAGGAGCACAATGTCAAAATCAACATATATCAATATTTCAATCAGAAATCCTGTTAACACTACTTTCCCTGAACATCATTTCAAGCAGATAAAGTGGGATACTCAAAAAAAAAAAAAAAATCTCTTTTCAAAGCCTTTTAGAAATAGAATTCACTGTGAGGAGTCATCACAGGCTTCATTCACTCCGCTGAATGTGAATAAAGTCTTTGGCTTAAGTTTTTGCAAACTTTGTAACTTTGGCACATGAGCCAAGTATCAGAGAAAACAGCTTCAAGAGTTTTTGCACAGGAAGGAGAGGAACATGTATCCCACCAGCCATGGTGCTGAGCATTTTCACAATTTAACTTTGTGACTTCACTGCAGGGAGGAGAGATGGAGACTGTAGGGCATCGAATCCCCCACACCTGGGAGAAGTGTTGTTATTTTATGTACCACTAAGAAAGGAAAACACTGCCAATTAAATTATGACACACCATTGATTTTAGGGCATGCTTCAATATCAGAGATGTTAAAATGTGAAAAACAGTACATCTTAGAACAAATAAACTGTGGAATTCAAACAGTGCTGGTGATTTACTCTGAATTTCATGTAACAGTAATAAGCCATGGAGTAGACAAAATGGTAGCCTTGAATTTGATCATCCTTTGGACAGTCTCCTCTGCCTTTCCCAAGATTCACAAGTAGGCAGGTATGGGAACAACCCAAATGCAAACCAAGTACTTTCCATGGTACATTCCTATGGGGTCTCCTAAACTGAGTTGCCAGATAACACACAGGAAGACTGGTTAAATTTAAAGTTCAGATAAACAATGAATATTTTTTAATATAAGTACGTCCTCAATACTACATGAGATATACCAAAAAAAAAAAAAAAAAATTGACTGAGCATCTTGTCTTTTTATTTGCAAATCTGGCAGCCATGCCCCCAGGGTAATTTTGACTGCACTCAACCTTTGTCACATGCTTTCTCTCTAGGGCCTTAACCTTTACCATAATACCTTATTCACTCCTTACCACCACCCTGAGAGTTAGGGGTTATTGCAGATAATTTTAGAGTTACAGGATCGAAATTTCCTCCCAGACTTAGATTAGTTGGTTTGGGTCTGAATTCTGATTGTAGCTTTTAATCCTTTTTACAGGGTAGTAAGATCTAAAAGATAAGATCACTGGAGAACCAAGAAGATGGTAAAGGCACTCTTATCCCTGGAAACAACCTCTGTGGGTTGGTCAGTGTTCACTGTCATGGGGATGGTGTATCCATAATAACAACAACAACAACAACAACAACAACAATAATAGCAGCAAATGCTAAGCACATATTACTATGTGTTAGGCATGTCACTACTCATAATTCCTTTACTACTCCCTTTTTACAGGGGGTAAACTGAGGCACAGAGAATTTAAGGAGCTTGCCCTTTTCATTGTTAAAATCTAGGCCTAACCTCATCTTCTTAGAGAGCCCTTGCTGGGTGCTCCTTAGATAATCCCGCCCCCATCACTCTTTATTCTAACACTCTATTTCTTTGTGAAGCTAAGTTGACTCTCAAAAGCGTTCTCACACTAGGTTAGTCCCTCCTAGCATCTTTCCCTTTGGTAATGCCCCCATCACTCATATTTAACCATTTGGTGTCTACTCTCCTTACCTGGGTGCCCCAAGAGGACAGTTAGGGGGTCTGTCTGGCTCAGTGCCTTAGGGCAGGGCCTCCCCTAGCATTGCAAGGACAGAATAAATATCTGGGTATTAATAAGTAGTCCCTGTCTTTTCCCTATGGACAGCAGAAGGTAATCTAGAAGATTCATCAGGAGTGAAACCCCTTCACTAAAGCTTGCCCTAGGCAAATCATGTCCTTTCAATAAACCAGTGTTTAAGGTAAGCCCGGACAATGGCTTTCAGCCACCAGGTTCTTTGGTTGCCTCAGGAGAGCAGAACCGTACTCCAACCCACAGCATGTTTAATTTCCAAATCACCTGGGCGGCTCTTCCAGGACATAAGTCTTGTCCACCAGGACCTCTCCCAGGGTCCCTATTTCTGCAGAGACTGAATTCCCATTCAAGGCTCCTGAACTAGATCAGTAGCCTGGTGTTGCTGAGTCAGCCTTGAGGCCCGTGCACTCCTTTAACTGGGCGTGTATAGAAGAGCAGTGAGGAGCTCAGTCCTGTAGGAAGGGTCACAAGCAATGGGCTAAAAGGCAGGCACATTCTTTCTTTATGTATATGGGCTTTATCTACATACACACAGGTTTTTTTCCCCCAATGTACTGCTTCTCATCTTAGAACTGCTTGAGGAATTTGAAGACAGTCCCCAAACATGCGCTGCCCCAGTCCAATGAAATCATTGCAGTTTCTAAAGTTCTTCACACGATTCCTGTGAGCAGCCAGGGCTGAGCACTGCTCTTTTAAAGAAAGCCACAGACCTGCATCGGGGCCTTTAAGAGGGAAACAGAAGTATCAAAAACTATGTGCATCAGAGCTTTGCAAATATGACTAGTTTTTGTTTTATTTATTTCCTATTTCCCATAAACAATTTTGAAGCGTTGGCACAACGTTGCCATCTGTAAGGCATATGTCAATAACAGACGGTCGCCTAATAATCAGAAAGACATTAACATTTGCAGGCTTTAAATTATTTGGATTCATCTGGTATGATCTGCATTGATGAGGCCACTTAATGCTTGATTTCTGTGTCTCCCAGTAGCAGAACCAGAAGTAGGAAGGCCATGCTTCCTAAGTTTTGCATTGTTCTTTGTCATCCTACTGAATTGTTACAAGATGGATTTATAATGGATCCAAAGCTACTATCAAAATGAAAATTAGTTCTTGAGTAGAAAAATAGCAATCCAGTTTGACTTGCCTGTAGCTATTGTGTCATATCTGCCTCTGCAAGGAAGGAAATGACTTCTTAATGTGGTTTCCTTCCACTAAGGAGAATTAAATCTATGTGGCAAAATGTAAAACCAGCCTCTGGCAGCCAGATTCTGAAGGGAAGATCCATGACCCTCATAAACATATCTGCGGCCTGTCTGGTTATATGCTAATGGACCTCCTTTAGGCTCAAACTGGAGAGCCAGGCTATTGTTCCCTCACTGTTTTGCCTTCTGTATCAAAGTTTGCTCTGAAACAATGGGGCAGTTTCTCCATCTGCTGCAGGCTGCCAAGAGGAGAGTCTCTGGATTAGATTTAGAATGAGTTGGGCCTGAATTAGCAAATTCCACTATTTTAGTTAATAGACCTTGTTGCTGAGTCAGCAAGATTCTTTGAGCCGGACCTGACTTCTGGGTGAATACACCTGGTGGGTTTGAGCAGGATCTGTAGAACGGTCTGTCCTTTCTTCAGTGGCACTCTAGTTCCCCTAGGATGGATTAAAAGGCAAAATTTAATTGTTTGGAACAACCCTGGAGCTCCCACTGCCTAGCTGGATGATCTTTGAACTTCCAGGAACCTCAATGGAGCCCACTTTGTGTATGCGTTATTATAAAGGTTAAATGAAATGATGCATGATGAAATAGTACACACAGAAGAAACTGCCCTTCACAGCCCAAATACTAACCATCTTTGGTGCGATTAAATTGTTTGCCTTAATCTCCTCAAATGGCTTAACACAACATACTACACTGTGCATGCTATGGAGAAGTTATACCTTCAGCATTTACAGTGTATAGAGTCTCACACAGGAATAACAAATTTGGTTAATAAAACTGAATTGCAATAGGAGATTAAGGGGAAAACTGAGCTCTTCTAATGGAGGGTTCTGAGAATATCCCTTCTATCTGAAAGAATTGGAATTCTATTCACTCTATATGTAAATCTGATACATATAAAGGACACTTTTAAAAGAAATATGGATACCTAAGAGGATTTTTAAATGATCCAACTAAGACCAATTGTTAATATTTTGATATTTCTTAACTTAATTATTTTACTGTTGACCTCCGTAAAGCCTCTTTTAATAGATACACTCTTCTTTCTTACTCAGTACTCATGGCCCTTGTATTATTATCATAAATGTGCTTTGGCACTTTTGGTTCACTGAATGGAGCTGTGCAGAGCTCATATAAGACAGGCTGAGCCAAAAAGCGGTAGGCAAACCCCAGGCCAGCTCAGACGAATGACCATGGGCAGGCAGCGAACACAGTGCCTTTAGTGTCAGGTAAGTGAAAGAAGTGAGTGAGAATGGCTGCAGCCGAAGATTAGAGAGTTGTGGGGGTTCTGATAAATGGCAGGATGCCCCCTCAATCTCTGACCCCCGCTCCCACCCTCCGCAGACGATTACAGATAGCAAATGAGCCACAACATAGCCTCATATGGTTATTTTATTGCAAATGATGGAAATACGATTTTATACATGAAACCAGTCCAAATTCAAATTTGTGCAACTAGCAACTAATGCAATTAAAAGACACCCACCTCCCAGTCTCTGATTTGCAAATTCTGTTCAGCCACCAAACAAAATTTGTTCAAGGAAATCCCAAGGACCCATTAATGAACATATTCTACTTTTTTTCTCTAAAGCTCCAGAAACATGACAAAGAGGAGGAGGACTCCCCAACCCTGTGGAGATCGGAGGAGGAAATGGCAGCAGAAGCCGCTGCGCTGCGGGTCTACTTTCAATGATGCAGGTAAAGACTCCACTTCCTCATCATTGCGACCCTCCAAGGGGCCTCAGGAAAGGGGCTCCCTGACCAAGTTGGGGGCAAAGAAAAGCAGCTGTACCAACAGCCTAGGGTGGTGATTTCAAAGACATAAAAGCCAGAGTGGAGAAAATCCTGATTCCTGAAGCCTTATTCCAAAAAGCGAGTCCCTTCTCCCTTGCCCCTCTGTTCTCTTCCTTCCAGCGCACCCCAGACCACCACCGCTTCTCACTGTTTCCTCCTCTCTGTAACTGCTCTTCACCAATCCAGTTCTCACAAAACTGGATAGTTTCTGACACAAACCTGATCATTTAAGAGGTTAAAGTCCTTTAAGGGAGTCACATCACCCTTTGGCTCAAGTCCCAAACTTCATCTGTCAGTTTGCAAGGTGCTGCGAACCAGCTCTGTCTGCCTGCAGGCCAGGTCATCGTTCACTTTGGGCCTCTGCTCCTCAGCTGCTGTTTGGAAAATTACCCTTTGTGTTTCCCTTTAGCTTTGGCTGCTAGGAAGCTCCAGACACATGGAAAGGTCAAGGAAGAATGAATTATTTCCTTGCATTAATGATGTTTAACTACTGGGAGATCAAAGATTTAAGATTCTGGAAGAGAGACATAGCCACCCTCCTTTTCAAAACATATATCCACACCGAATTTTTTTACAATGTCAAAGGGTTCATGGATCTTCTGACACTAATAAATAGGGTGCCATGAAATATTGGGATGAACCTAGATGAAAAAATTATTTGTTATTTATCTGAAATTCAAATTTAACCGGTTGTCCTGTATTTTTTCTGGCACCCCTGTTACAAAACCTCCTTAGGGATTATGCACTCAAGATAAGGAACCCCTCCTCTGCATAGTTTATTTTCCTTCTTAGAATTGTCTTCTTCATCTGGTCTGTGTCAATGTCTTTATGTTATAAGCTACTGCAGTAGATCAGATACTAATTTAAAACACAATTAGTGAACAAATAGTAGCAGCAACTGAATTATATAAAACTCTATCAACCGTCTAGTGATTCATGATTTTTGGCTAGAAAACACATTCGCTGTGTTTCCTTTTTACTTTGAAACATAAGCCCCTTTCAGCTAGTTTAAAATATATGTGCATTTGATAGCCTTTCTCTCCGATCTCCTTTTTCAAAGTATTCTCATTACTTAAAGATCCAGTAGTAACCGCCTCTCCTGCATTATGGTGCAGGTATGTTGTGCACAGGCCCTTGCATTCTAGAAGGCTTATTTCATTTGCTCCTGTCACTGGTTTGTCAGCTCAGCCCTCAATTGCCTGAAGGGACATATATGGTGCTCGCAGCCACTGTCTTTGATATTTTATTTTCACCCTGTTCACTTTCTCATTTCTTTCTTTCTTTCTTTTAAAGATCACGCCAGTTTACCTAAGAACACAGGCTTAAGGGCATGACTGCAGCCCTCTTTCCATTCCTCTTCTGAAAGCTAGTGTGTCGTTTTGGAATGTCCCATCCGAATGGAGTCACCATTCTTCAGGCTCGGCTTCCTAGGCTTGTTTTTCTGTCTGGGTTTCTTCTATAATGGATACCTTCAGGTAGAGGCAAGAAAGCTCTAGGCATTCCCTGAGGCTTGCTGAGTTGTAGAGTTTTGTCTCACAATGAACTTTCTGGACACTTCAGGAGGATTTAAACTTCTCGCCCAAGTTGCCGGTATGCCTTGTCTGTTTTGCTTCTGTATTGCCTTGAGGCCTAGCATTTCCTGCCTACCAGGTGAATCGACGTGTCTTATATATTTAGCCAGAAAGGCAGTTACCTTAACTTGTTATACAGTCTGTTGCACAGTGCATGTAAGGTTTTAAATGACCTAACATGAATTTCTCTCATTAAGGGCTTTTGTTTACAGAGAAAATAAATCACCTTCAGTGTTCTGGGCAGTCAGATAGTCAGATGTGGGAATGGAGACCAGGACAGGTAACATGGGTTGCCCAACAGTACACAACTAATAATTGAAGTGAAGGACTTAAACTTAGGACCCTAAGATTTCTCTAAAAGCATCGTCATTTCCTGTTGTATAATGGAATTACCTCTCTTTACACACAAAGGAGAAAGGAAATGTTCTATTCAGGAAACCTGCTCATTGAGTTGGTCCACCTGGTTCTTTGACACCTACCCACTCTGTTTTGAAAATGCATCTATACTCAAAATGTATACAGGGCTAAATTGTTCATCGAACTTCTAAAATGTGTTAATAAATCGGGCTGCTATACAATATTTGTACATACCTATTCATTGTTTATCTGAAATATCGATGAACTTGGTCTCTCCAAGCTTCCTAATTATACTCTCAGTGGGCAGTCAGTCTAAGGCAAAGCCAGTTTAAAGATTTTGATGGGGCTCACTCTGCAACACTGTATGATTTGCAATGTGCACAAAGGCTAAGCCTTAAGATTGACAATAGCCAATGTTACAGAGATTTACAGGACATGTGTTCTATTATTATCCATCTTACAGGTGATAAGAAAACTGAGACTTGTTCAAGGAAAACTGAGACTTGGTGATGTTAAGTTTTATTCCAAGGTAAATTGTTAGTAAGTGATGGAGCTCAGATTTGAACTCAGGCTGTCCAACCCCAAAGGCCATTCTCCCAGTTTTTGTACTGCCCACCTCACTGCAAGAGCTCGCTTCAGCCAGCATGGCCTCCCTGTCCCAGCTCCCCAGGACCCCTCCAAATATTTTCTTCAGTTTTTTTTACCCGGTCTGCTGGCCTCTCTGGTTCCACTGTGAGGAATTGCCTCTTCCTCCCCTGCTGGACTTCCTTGTCAGCCTTGCTAATGCCACCCTCTACAGCACCTGCCTCTTCAGCCACATTGCATCCAGGTCTCAGGAGTCAAAATGGGCCTGACCTTGTACCACCTGCCTTCCCTCACTTGCACATTGTTCCAGACCCACCCTCTTTTCTACAACATTTGACCATGTGCCTATGTAATATGATCTTGGAGGTGTATAGTGTCTCCCAAATTTCATTCATTCCAATTTTGTCAAGATTTTTCTCATCTTGTATACAACGTAGCATATTGTTTAGTTATTATTTACTTGATTCACTTTTTAAAGTTCAATTCACTTATCTTTAACTTTATATCATACCCTTAATGAAAAGCAAGTATTATTGTAATTAGAAGTTAAACATAAGGACAAATAAAAGAGCAAAGCAGTGCTGATGAATTCCAGCTCTTCATATTTGCTTGCCTGTAGCTATTCAGATGGGTTCATTCTGTCTTTGTTAAACAGAGAGGTTGGCCATCTTAGAAAGCCATTTAATTTCAGCACCAAAGTGAGACTCACGATTTGACCTATTCAAAAGGATTAAAAGAGAATAATCTACAGAGGGATTCAATGTAGATCATCTAAAATTACCTTAAACAGGCAAATGATGCCCATCTTTGGAAAACAGCAATAGAAGCCAGAATTCAAACCCAGAGCCAGCTGACTCCAGACCTGCGCCAGTGCTCCCCAATCTCTCACCAAGTACATGGCGAAGATGAGGTACATGTGGGAAAATGGGGTCACCTTCCCTAGGGATGAGAGACCACACTCTTGTACGTGGCTGAGGACACCAGGCATGAAGGCCTGAACCATGCCCCGTTGCCTCTCATGGGCACACTTAGCTACCAGGCTGATAGGATATGTCTGCAATCATCCCTTCTCCTGGGAGTCCAAGTGTTAAGAGCTGGACCTTAACACTTAATTTGCCATTAATCATCCTTAAAAACAAATATATTGCAAAGAAGAATGTGTAAACCTATCCTCAGAGATGCCCTATATAGGAAAATGGACTGTAATAGGCAAAAAGCTGTACTGTGGTGAACGTTTGGTGTGGAAATACCTAACAAACCATTCAGTTAGTAGCAAACCCTGCTCTCTATCTTTATGTATAAACCGAGATCGATCCTCTGATGGCAGAACTGCCACAGGACCACAAAGATAAACATTCTAAAACTATCAACTGTTTCCTCAGCCTCTTGAGGCCATTAGGACATCAGCATTAGGTTAGTTATGTGGAATAACTCTCCTGATCATGCCATATAATGGTGTTTTGGCTGCTCTCTCAATCTTTTGCCTAGCAGGAAATTACTTTGAATTGCAGTTTTTTAAACATAGTATAGAGAAAAACAGACATTACCTTTACCACGCACAGGAAAAGACAACCTTCTAAGGGTTGCTGAATGAAGCTGCAATTGTCTCACTCTCTCCCTGACACATCCCTGATGAGGTTGGTAACCCTTCGGTTCCAAGAATTCAACATCTGCCTCCTGCTTAGGTGAATTTCTGCATTGCCTCCCTATCCACTGGGCTGAGTCGGAAGCAGGTTCTGCATTCCTTACCTAATCTTGCATTTTTCCTGGAACATAATCATGTTTAGGTACTTAATACTTGGTTTTGCTGCCCCTTCACATCTATGTTATGTTTCCTACATAATTTTAAAGCAATGGTATGTGTTCTAGTGAGGAATGATTTCATCATCTCCCTGTCCCCCTTTCCACCCCATGTGGGAAGTGAGTGGGGTGTGTTTGTAAAATATGCAAGCATTGCCCCTAACTCTGAAAGAAAGTCAGAGCAGGGCAGGTTTCCGCATTCTGTTGTGTCAGCAGAGTTTATTTGTAATTCATCAAACTCGTCTCTGTGCTTGCCGTTGGTTTATAAATAATTGGTTGTCTTTTATTTACTCATAGCAGAGCTTTGCAATTACAAAGCAACTGAGTCAGCCCAAAACAACATTATTAGTAGTTACAGGTATACTGTCAAGGCAAAGTTTTGACACTGACATTTTTGAAAAATCACCATGATTTCAACCACTGGACCACACATATCATGATCATGCCAGTTATGGTGGACAAGAAAGAACAGGTTTACTTTGTGAGTATGTGTTCTGGTCACTGAATTATACCTATTAAAATTTATCCTACCAGCCTAGAAAAACTTCATCCTTCTCAGAGAGGGTCAGTTCTCAGCACAGCAGCCTGTAA